TTCATACCGTGTACAGTACATCTCAGGACTGAGAATCGTTGGCAAATGTGCTCCAGGTATAGCGACAATTTTCACCCATGATTCGAGTTTCTAAAGCGAATTCTCACTCACAGTGAGAGAAGTAGTTTTAAGTAAGCCCACCTTATCGAGTGTATATGTTCTCATATAATCGACAATACCTAAAATCAGCTCTCCATTTGTTTCATCAACACCCACCAATAATGAGTAGTCCATAACATGCTAAACGGGAAAATAATTAGTTCGATAAATCTACATACAGACATAGGCCTTTTTAATACCTGAGAACTGAGAAAATGGCTGTCGTTGCTGATTGCTTGATTTAAAGCAGCTTTAGCGTGAGGATATATATACAACTGTTTATTCCATAGATCTTTCATTAGATTCTCATCAAGTAAAACGAGATCTGATGTGCTTTTTGCTGTAGTAGCCATCCTGCAAAAACAGTGAATTGGACTAGAGTTTGATTGCGATTGATGTTATGGAAATAAATTCGGCTCACCGATTTCTCAAAGATCCTTTCAAGTCCCAAACCTGATTAACATTATGTTTATAAAATAGATACTCCATAACGAGAATATCCACTTTCAGTTGTGTGGTTTTGCTCTTATACCCGACTCGAAATACTCCATATACCTGTGAAAGAACAAAGGTGTCTAATTTATTAATTTTATATCATGTAACGTGATTCTTCAGCATTAGATCACTCATGGGTTTGAACAATATCAGAAAAGAGATTCTACCGAGAATATAGTTGTACACCAAACACAGAAGCTAAGAAACACACAAATATAGCAGGTCAGAAGAGTTGAGGTCAATTTGTATTTCATGCTTCATGTTTGTTTGTATTCCAAAATTCGCGTTAGAATTACAATGGTATTCTCCAAAACCCTTTCCGTTCATTCATTAAGTAGAGAAAAGCTTGAGTTGTAAAACATTTGTCAAACTGAAAAAGGGCGATAGTTCCAAGATGCTTCAATTCCTGACTACACCTTAGATATATAGAGCTGCAATACTGTTCACATTCACTAGTGGAGCGAGGAAAGATGGAATTTTCACATATGAGGGCCTGAGAAATATGTTTGAGGTAAATTTCGGACGCTCACTTTTTCTTACTCATGGCAAAAATATTCCAAGAATTGCAGGCAAGTTGCACTTCTTCGTTGAAAACATATGGGAATAAGGCCGTAATAATATCTTTATTTGTGGTAAAATAACTAGAGATAGGATCTTATAGATGGGGTTTCTTATAGAATACGAAAACCTTATAGAGGAGGCTGTCTTTAGATGAACCTTGACTTGGAAAAAAAATCCACAGAATAGAGGGAATAGTATGGGATTGGCACTTTAACATTTTCAATCAAATACGGTTGACATATCTAAGACAATTAGTTGCATGAACAGTGGGAGGTGATAGTTAAGATTATCTAGACTGAACTATAAGAAAATAAAAGTTTATCACCTTCAAATGGTGAAGGAAAGAGATATGAGAACTAATTCGTTGCGATGAAAATTACGGCCTTGCAATTAGCTGAATTCTTAAGTTCAATTTTGATCAAAATGATATATAGATGGTATGTATATTGGTGCTCCATTGTGTGCTGCCTCCTGCAGTTATATACTACGTAACTAAGCGTCTTTTCGAGGCATCTGGCTCTAATGCCCTTTTCGCTTTTACTTGTAATCTAATATAGGTAAATCGTAAATCAATGTGAGAGCATTGAAAAGTACTTTTCAGCAGAAATCCGCAACAATTTTTTGATCTGAGGGAATAAAATGAGCAGCAC